TAGAAAAAACATTCTTAATTTTTAAAATGAAAAACTTATGCTGAGAATCTCAATTTAAATTTTTCTCATTGCCATAATTTTAGAAGAAAAAAAATTGCTATAAAATAAACTTTATTTGTAACTTTATTTTTAAAAAAAATGCTGAGTCATAATAAAAATGCCTAAAAAAAGAAAAACAGAAGAAACAAATTTTTCTTAGTTCCTGAAACAAAACTTTAATACTGAAAATCACACTTTTCTATGTTACTGGTTATTTATATTACAGTACAGGGAAGGAGTGATAATAAATTAATACTATGAGACGTTCTGTTAAAATGCTGGGTTATAATAAAAGCAGCAAAAAATGGAAAAAAAATACTTCTCAATTCTCTAAGTATCGAAAAAATTGACAAAATTGTCTGATTATAATTTTTTTTTAAAAAAGTATTTTATTAATATTTATAAAAATTCAAAAATAAAAAAAACTTAGAAAAATGCATTTCTAAAAAATATTCTGCCGAATATTTGACTGATCCTTCAACCAACTGAATTTTTCACAGAACGGCCAAATACTCGTTACATCGCTCCCTAATTTAAATGCAATGTTATTTCAACTTGAGAAATTCATAAAATGGCGGAAAACGTGAATTTTTAAACTGCTCACTGTTTGTAGTTTAGATTTAAATTTTTTGTTGCTTAAGTGATCTTTTTCGATAAAAAAAAGGGAAATGTTTACGATATAAAAAATCTAATAATTAATAAAATAAAATAACAAAGTACATTACAAAATAAGCATTGAATTTTATTTTGAACTATCACAGTTTTGCTTTTATTTTAGGCTTTTGTTTAAAGCCTATAAATTTTCTTCAATTAAAATATTTAATTTGAATTTATAATACTTAAATATGACAACTTTTTCCTATTTTCATTCTGTGGGCATTGCAGATTTTTTTTCATTTATTAGAATTTAATTCTAAAATGAATTTTCGTATTGCATGATATGATAAAAAAAAAATTTCTTTTCTTCAATGTTTATTTATTTTGATAAATCTATTGTTCAGATAATAAAAATAAGTTTTTTTTTGTAAAAAAAAAAAGTATAAGTTTTTTTATTTTTGAATGAATTCTAATAATGGAACACTACTAAGTTATTGATATTACTAAGTTTATTGATAAAAAAATGGAACGCTAATGTTTAAATAAACATTACTACATTTGTCATTAACATGTCAAAATACATGTGCGGCCCTTCGTTATCCAACCAGCTGCGCAAGTGGCCCTTCACTCAAAAAGGTTGTGCACCCCTAGCTTACATGCAGAATAATTCCGTAGGTTTTTCATAAAACATAAGTTAAAAAGAAATTTTTCCTTTTCAGAATCAAATGAGCAAGACACACAAAACAGAGAATAGAAAATTTGTATCACAAGTTGCAACTGTAGAACAGTGAGTTAGTTTACATTCTTGATTTAGTATTTCAACATATTTCAGTGCTCCAACATATTTCAGTGCTCCAACATTTAATGTTTTTTTTCTTTCCAGAATGACCTGTGATTTGCATCACCTTGTAACTACAGCACTACCTGTTAGTCGCCCTTTTATCATGGTTGGATCTGAGATGGGTGGACTTATTGCTAGGCATTACAGCATGATGTACCCTGAGTATGGCACAAATTTTAGTTTTATCAGAGGTGATTGTGATTGTATTCCAGGTGCACACGAGAATTCCGTTTATTTTTTCTTGTGTGTGTGTGTCATCCTACCAAGTCTAAAAATTAAGAGAAGGACATGTGTGATTTTTCTAAAATAGAACGGAAAACCGTTGGTTCTCGAACATCCCTTAATCAAAAATATGTAATCAGACGAAATTTTCCTGAATTCCGCAATCTGAAATTAAATTTCACTGAATTCTGTTTTTGCTGAATTTCCATTTACAATGTGATTCTTCCACCAATACTAATTATAACCCAGGGGCAGATTTTGTCCATTTTGAGTATTTGTAACTGCAAAGGAATTCCCTAATATCGCAATTCTTATTCATTTGATTTTAATAAGCATTGATTTTCGTATTTGCCATCGTTAAGAGTTACCTATTGCGATTCATATTCATGTGTTTTAGAAATCCAATATCGCGATTTGAATTTGTGTATTCAAATCAATTTCTTGATTCTTATGCATTTATTTTAAAGTTCAGTATCAAGATTCGTATTCTAGTTAGTTAAAATCCAATGTCAAAATTCATATTTATGCATTTTTAAAATCCAGAATTGTGATTTGCATACACACGTTTCTAAAATCAATAGTTATATTTTTTTTAACGCATTTTTAAAATCAAATATTTCGATTTGTATTCATGCCTTTGTAATATTGATTTTTGTATTTATACGTGATAAAGCTATGCATTGTGATTCATATTTACCTGATCTAAAAATCATGTATCCTGATTCATACTCATGCTGTTAAAAAATCCAATATTGCGTTTCACATTCATGTGATTTAAAAATCTAATATCGCAATTCTTGTAAGAACTAAGATGATTTTTTTTAATTAGTTTCTAAAAAGGTATGATATTCTTCATTGATGGGTATTTTAATTATAAATTTTATTTAAAAAAAATTATGGTAACTATGAAAGTAGTATGGTATGTAAATTGATATCGATTTTTTGCACAAAAATTTTTCGGGGTTCTTCTAGTGTCACAATTACCCCGGTTTTATGTTGTAATGTATTTTTTAGTTTAAAAATGTTTTTAATAAAGTTTGTTGTTTTGTTAGGCTTTAATGCTGTGCCATATATTGAAAAAATTAATTTTTTGTTTTGTTATAGGGATGTCAGTGATATTATCATATTAAATCCTCTTGTTGAAGACTTATTTTGGAGGCAAAAGGAAGATTGGAATAATTATTGGTATGGTGTACTTTTTAATTTTTCTCTTTGGAAAGCAGTAATACGTAAAAATATTTTTTTTTCTGACTTTCTATTTTTTAAAGTGAGATTTTGAGCGCATAAATTTAGAATATACGTAATTAAAATATTATTGCTTGTACGCCTTACATCAGAGTCCTCTATATAGATCTGCAATTCAAAAATTTATCTAAAATAAAATGTTTGCATTTGGCAAGTTTACAAGTTTAAAAAGACAAGAATATCTGATAATGCAATTTACGTGATAAATTAAGTGCACTTAGAAGAAAGTCCTTTAAATGCATTAATTGAAACTTCAGTACTGAAGGATATAACTTAGCTTAAGAATATAAAAAACACTGTTAATAACAGAAAAGTCAATTTTTTTTAAAATTTTTCTTCATTTTGTTGGCAATATTTTTTAAAGTCTTGTTTATTTTTGTCTGCAGGGATATAGTAAATTTGTGACTATTTAAAGAAGATTTATTTTTCCTTCTCCTTCAAAAGCCATGGTTAAAACAATTATAGAAGAAACAACAATTTATAATACCCAAGCTTTTTTTTATAATAAATAATTTAAAATTATGGAATCATACAAGTGCAAATTACATACTACATATTGTTTTGAAATAAGTATCTCTTTATTTGGTAACTCATGAGCATGGAAATAAATAACATGAAAAGAAACATGCAGTATCTTTCCACTATTCCAATATTTAATTATGTTTTTATTTGTCTTCAAATACTTTTTAAATGTTTAATTTTATCTTTAACAAGAAATATTTAATCAAAATAAACTTTTATTTTTTTGTATTTACTAATTTTTTATTGTTTATGCGTGTAAATTAATAGCTAACATAATTTCAAATTACTTTCAGGTTTTTTTTTCTTGGGAGAGGAGGCACTAAGCTCTCTTTTCAAATATTATCTTGCAGCTATACATAAGATTATATTGAAAATAGTCTGTTTATTAAAATAAGGAGAACTATTTATAATGCTGTTTTGATTAGAGTTGCTTTTTTGTTGTTTTATACCTTTATTAATTTAAGCGCATATTCAATTACAATTGCTTACAGTACAATTCCTCATTTATCTGTTAATCTTATCAGTTTTTTACTACCATTTGCTAAATGTCAGCAATTAGTAGAAATATTGAAAAATGTGTTTTTATATAGTATATAAAAAGATTGAATTCGTTTCTTCATTAAATATTGCACAAATGTAGCAAAATATTCTTATTTATTATGGTTAGAGTTCTTTTTTTATTTAAAGATATTACTATGATAAAATTAGTTATTTTTTCTCATTTGTTCAGGAATTCCCAGCTACTTCCATCTTTACAATCTCTTCAATTATCAGCATCTATTGGTATATCTAGAATTGCTGCTCTTTTAGGATTCATTAAACCAGACCTTGCTGGGGAATCAGTGCCAAAAGAAGTGGAGCTTAGACAAGTAAGGCACTGGATCTGTTTGATGAAAACATCATTTCCAGAATTCATTTGCTTTTAGTATTGTATTGCATTGAGCTCATATATATTTAGGCTTGTATTCACTTACGCTTTTTGGCTCATATTTTTTAAGAATAATCATAGCATTTTAGATTGTCTTTTCATCCTCTTAGCTGTTATTAGTTTTAAAAATAAGTTAGGCTATTTCTGTTTGTTTAATTATTAATTTTTTGCTCAACTGAATTAATTTGTGTGGAATAGAAACATCTATTTATATTTAAAACTTGCCATGGATCTCAAATTAAATAATAATGGCTTTTTTTAAAAATAAAAGAAAAAATCTTAAAATTTATTATTTATGTGTTGAAAGATGGTCATTTTAAATAAAAATTGCTCAATTATTATGGAAATCTTTAATAAAATTGAAATAAATTCATTTTATTAACCAAAATACTTTTCTACATTACATTAGTTGTGTATAAGAATGTAACGAATATTCGGCCACTTTTTGATATGCAGCTGAATATTCAGCCAAATATTTGGAAAAGTTTTTTTTTTTACTACGTTTTTATTTTGGGAAGAATTTGAATAGATTTAATCTAAAATTGTATTTTTTGCTATGCATTATTAGAAAATGTTTTTATACTTTTTTAATGAGTTCTCAAACTTGTTCATTTATGTTCCGAAAGTCAATAGAAAAGCAAAAATTGAACAATTGATACTAGATTACTTTATACTGAACCATAAGTTTCGTACCATTGCTTTTTTTATTATTATATCCAGGCAAGTCTAAATAGTCATTTTTTCATCATTTTTTTTTTTTTTTTGTTTGTAAGAATTGGGTTATTTTCCTGTTAGTTTGGTTTTCACTGTTTTCTTGTTTTAATAGTATAGCATTTTAAAGGAGCATTACTTATAGACTTTATACTTTTATTATCAATTTTTTCCCGTATGATTAGACAGATGACCTAGAAAAGTGTGATTCTTAATATTAAAGCTACATTTCAGAACTCATAACAGTTTTTTGCTGTTTCTCTTTTGCTTTTTTATAAACTTTCCATTTTAGCAGCCTTTTTATTATGGCAGCATTCTTTGAGGAGCTTTTTACGGTCACTTTTTCTAAAAATAAGGCTATGTGAATAAGTTAAATTGAGATTTTTAACATTTAAATATTTTGTTTAATATTTTTTATATCTAATTATCTTATATATTTCTGTTATAGTTTTTTTTCTTCTTTTACCTCATACTAATAACATAGCTGAGTTTAATTAATTTTTTAGTGATCAAACTTATTTGTGTATAAAACTACTAATACTTATTCATATATATATATATATATATAATCATTAATAATATTTATTAAGGATTTTTTTATAAAAAAATTTTACCATTTGGATCCATTTTATTCATAATTCATTTATCTATTTTATTCATCATACTTGAGATTATTTTATGTACAAATTTTTATGTAGGGTCTCAATAAAAATAGTTACATTTTTATAACTTTTAATGCATGATTTGATTCTGATTTTTGTCGATTTTATTTTAATGATTTATTGTTATTTTGAAGTTTAACAGATAAAAAGTTGTAAGGAATATACCACCTTTTCTTTATTATTTCTTAATAAACTTAACATCACATCATAGCAAAAAAAATTTTGTATTTAATAGAAAAAGAAAATACCAATCAAATAATCTGAGTAAATTGATTACAAATTTGTTGTTTAAATTTATTGGAATTATTATAGCTTGATTGCAGTTTGTTCCAACTTTCGTTGATTCTAATATTTTTTTTTCCAGCTGTCACATTTATGCAATCCTACACATATGGAAGCATTCTTTCATGAGCATATGTTACTTAATACCAGCTTCAACCAAATGAAGTAATAATCTTTTATTTGTTGTTACAAAAAAGTTTTACTATTCTTCTTATTTTGCTACCCACTTGTGTGTCTAGTAGTAGAAACCCTTTAATACAGCAGCATACTTTTTAGATTATTACAGCATCTGCCGATTAATTTTTACTTTTGAAATCTTCTTATAATCTGCTAGTTTATCCTTTTTAGAAATATTTTTTTCTTCTTTCTTTCTTTATTGTGATTAATGTTTGCAATTGTGCCTTCTCTTCTAGAGTAGAGCTATTTATTATTATACTCTAGCCCTCTTTTTAAAACATCTCTAAACTTATTTTTTTATCAAAATTATATTGCTAAATTAACAAAACATTTCATAGGACAATTTTTTTTTAAAGACGAACAACTTTTAAACATTATTTTATAAAATTTAAATTAAACTGAAAACATCAAAGTATCTGAATACTATTTTTTTTAAATATCTTAGATTTGTATGCATAATTTTACATGTATATACACACACATATAATAAGCAGATTTCTTTTACATTAAAATTTTCTGATTGATGGCCTTGGAGTCATAACAAACTTGAGTTTATGAAAATAGTGTTGCTGATTGACAGCATTAATTCTATTACCAAGATTGTGCTTGCAATAATAACAAACATGTTTAAAATCAGGGTGTATCATAAGAACACAAGAAATTTTGCTTATTTTGCAGTTTAATGCATTTGCACTGAAGCAGTTTTTTTACTGGTATGTTGTATGTATTATAAATCTGAACTGGCATATCTTAATATGTGTAATAGGAATAATTTGAGCAAAGTTAGTTGCCAATTAGAGTAAAAATGCAAAACTTATTTTTTATCTTTAAATTTATTTTGCTTTTTCTCTAGTTTATAAGATTTTATATTGTAAGGATTGTTTTTTAATTTAGTTTTATGAATTTTGTGACAAAACATTTTCAGCTACTTTTTTAACTAAAACTTACGATTTCTTACCTTTACTTTTCCTACTTTTGTACAAAATTTAGTCGGAAATAATTAGTTTTTGTATTGAGTTATATTTGTTATTTATCTATTAAAGAAAGTCATTATTATTAAGTTATTGTCATGTTAAGCTGTTGTCTTATTTTGTTTTTTCTTATTTTTTTATTTCAAAAATTTTATTTTCTAGATTTTAATTTAAAAATTTACATAATTTTAACAGAAAATCTCAATATAATCTTATTGAATGTTCAATGTTATGTTCTGGAATATAATCTTATTGAATGTTCTGGAATAACCATTATTATTAAATTATTGTCATGTTAAGCTGTTGTCTTATTTTGTTTTTTCTTATTTTTTTATTTCAAAAATTTTAATTTTCTAGATTTTAATTTAAAAATTTGCATAATTTTAACAGAAAATCTCAATATAATCTTTTTGAATGTTCAATGTAACCTTTTTACTTTTTTTATTGCAGTGAAGTTTGGCAAGTGAAGACATTTCCAAAAAATGTATCCGTCACTGTGATAAATAGTAGACAATTTGAAAAAATTCCAAATCATTTACAAAAGGTATTTTTATTATAACTGTTTAGTACTGTATGTATGTCCTAACATTTCGTAAGATTTTTTTTTTTCGAATTAAAATTGAGTGGTATTTGTTGCTGAAACAAATTATAAGCCTTTGTTGTAACTTAATATTGGGTTATTAGCATTGCATAGAATCAATAACTAGTTCTGGAATAGTGATAAAAAATGTTACTGTTTTCGTAACTGATAAAAATAATTTGAGTATTCCAATTGTAAAAGCTGCAGATGAAAGTAGTATAATGAAAGGAAATCCATAGTTGCATTACACCAAAATATTTATTTTGTAAATGGTTTAAGAACAATCATTCAAATTTGCCAAACAAAATGGCTCTTTCTCTCTCTCTCTCTGATAGAGAGAGCATGATCCCAAAATCTTTATCGAGAATAATCATCTTTTGAAGACAAAGGATTAATACTGTACAACTACTGTTTTTTTTTATTAATTATCTGGCTAAAGATTAAGGCATACTACTCCTCTCCCCAGCCTAGAACATGTATTCTAAACTCAAAGTGAATATAAAATTATCAATTTAAGCTTAGAAACAAAGGGACATGCCCATTATTTGTGATTTATCAAAAATGAATCTAAGAATATAGCCAGTCCTGTATTATCTAAGGTAAGTTTCTAAATTATTTGGCATAAAAATTAAACTCTAAAAAGATAGTTATAACTAATAAATCTACAACATAAAATATTTTTATGCTAAGCTTTTTATAAATAGATTTTTTAATATTTACGATGAAGGGTCAAATGTTCGAACATAAGATCATATTGTTACACTATCTCTTATTGTACATTCCGAGAAATTGTGATTTTACAAAAATAAATGTGATAATTATAAAATTTTCAGTCAAAAATTAAAAAATTTTTCTTTAATTAAATAAAAAGCTCAATTAACGTTATATACAAAATATGATTATAACATAGAAAATGCCAATGTTGTGAGATCTTCTCAGCTTAGGGTGGGTGGTCGAATTATACTGTGACATAAGGGGGTGGGGACTTTCAGTTGCCATTACTTGCTCTTGACATAAATTATACAGATAGAAACTGTGATGAATGTGTTAAACTGTATCATTCTGTGATGTACATCACAGATTTGAGCAATTTCTGCCTTATGACTTTTGTTTTCATTTATTTGTGCTTCAAGGTTGATATATCAAACAGTGCTTGGCACATATAAAAAAAAATCAAAGTCATCTATTTTCGAGAAAATTGTAATCACACTCCATTCAATGAAAGTTGATCATCAGCGAAATGAGATAGTTTTGCCTATGCTACGACAGATTCATGAGCAAAATATAATATCTAATAGAAAGATTTTAAAAAACTAATAAAATTTATTAAGTTGAAAAAGTTTGTTCACTATTATAGTACCTGCCGATGGTATTTCGTACACATTAATTATACTGAAATCGGTAAGTTAATATAATGAATTCTTTTTTTCATAATCTGCCTGTTTTAGGTAAATGTACATGGTGCATAGCGTTTTTAAAAAGGGCTTAAAGGTGCTTATTTTCGTTTTTTGCAAGCCATTAAAGGTGCTTTTTTTATTGGGTGTTTTCAAAAAGTGCTTAATTTTTCCTTTTCAAAAATGGGATTTTTCTTTCTTCACAATGTCGATTTTCGCCCCGTATTATACAAAAGCAGGCTTTTCACATTGTTCAACATTTTCCCAATTCATTTAACCACAATCTTACTGTCAGTCTATGGCGTATGAAAGCGCCAATCATTTTACATGTTTGATAAAATACTTATGAGTCCGCATTTTCGTCTACTGAGCTGGGTTCGGTGAGATTATTGCACTCTCATGTGCAGCTCTGCCGCATTTTGCAAGATATTCTCAATTTCAGGCTTCATTTTCCACCCTCTGATATCGAACCGAAAAAAACCTCTTGATCATTTTATGGTGGCTAATATAATCAAGAAAAGAGTTCTTCTTCAGAAATTAGTTATTTTATCATGATCATGTAAAGTCTTTGAAAATTATTTTGCATTTTGTTAAAGTATATAGTGCTTAAAAATATTTTTTAATGCTTAAAAGGTGCTTATTTTTTTGTTGAAAGGTTTGGCTATGCACCATGATATAATTATTTTATTTCTTTCTTAGGCGTGGCAGCAGTCTCAATTGTATTTGCGTCAAAGTTTGCATCCAACTTGCAAGCATTTTATTTTTGATGGATCCACAGCACAGCTATATAGCCAGCCTGGAACTATTGTTAATAAAGTTCAGCAACTGGTTTATAAGTGGCGAATCACTTATGACGTTTTTCCTACTGTTCATACATATCAAGAACAAGAATCACTTCTTTCATGAGCATTCCATACCCTTTTTTATTGTCATTTTAAAGCATACTGTATTAAATATTCAATACTTTTCATTCATATTAAAATTTTATTGTGATTTCCAAAAAGAAAAACTTGTTGCTCAAAAATGTAATTTAAAGAAAAAAATTTATTTTAATATTTATTTATGCAAAATTTGTTACAAAATCTTGAGAATATTGGAATTATCAGCGGAAAAATTATTTTGATATCCAAATGATGCAAGACCTTCTCCTACTTTAATATATTAACTTATTCAGAAATTTTTTTGTTCCTGAAATTATCGAATTATGTTTATTCACTTATGACCTAATTCTGCTAAGAATTTAAAATTTATATGAATTTGTAATATAAGGCAATGAAAGAATCAACAAATTTGTTGTATAAAGGTCTTATATCCGTGCCAACCACGCTTGTGAGTTTTAAGCATATAATTTCCTTTTTGCATACCAGATGTACTTGTTGAGAAATCACACAAAAGCAAGATTAATTTTTTTATTTATTTATTTATTTTTTTAAAAAAAGGCCTATGAAATTTCAAAATGGAAAACAAAAAATAGGTCTACAACATTTGAAAAATCTCTTACTTTTAACACAAGACATTTGATTGAAATGCCCTTTATTATTTCACTATTTGACATTAATATGTTTTTTTAATACTAAATAAAAAATAGCAATGTTGGAGCTGCGACAACAGATGTGGAAAGATCAAAATTATGTTGATTGTTAAACATATTAAAACGAATCTTAAACTAATAAAAAAAAAATTTAATCTAACACATTTTCAATATTTTGATTTTAAATTCTTATACTTAACATTTTTTTTTCTTTTTGTGAAAAATAATCAGTTTGATATTGGATAGTTCAATTGTTAATTTCTTTTTACCTTACTAATACAATTTTAATTTTATCTTTGAGATGATTCACATGAAGCTTTATTTTGTGCTTATTGAAGGTGTTATTCAAAATTATCTTTCAAATTTTCATGTGCAATAATGCATGATATTGATAAGATACGGTCCGTAAACAAATTGTTAAGTAGAAAATGCAAATTTAAAGACTAATGTAACATACAAATTTTGAATTAAAACTGCTTTAGCTATTTAAAAACTTTATTCGTGTTTGATTTAATGATGCATACTTACAAATTTTAAATGAGTAGTTGTGAGCATTACTGATTTGAAGTTTTGAGTAAAATTTGATCTTATTTATCTTAAAGAAAAATTATTTTGTATTAAATCTCCAGCAACAATTTTACTTTGGCAACAGTTGGGTTCAATATAGGTCCTATAAGAACATGCACCGAGGGACCGATGTTGGGATGTCTAGATTTTTTAATATTTGTCCTTGAATGGCCAGTATAGGGCCTACTTTTGCCAGTATAGAACCTACATTGGCTAATAAAGTATATAAAATATCGGGTGAATCTGATAATTATCTATAGAACCGATTTTGCAATATTGGAAAAATAAAGGCCCTTTGAACCCTTACTGAGCCAAGATTCATGAATATTTGCCCAATGAGGGACCAAGTTATTTTGCTGCTACTGATATTAATTATGTAATTATTATAAATATGCTTTATACAAGTGCAAGATATTTCAAACCCCAACTGGCTACAACCTTTCAATAAAATCTTGGCTACATTTATGAAGGAAATAATTGTATTGTTTGAACAAGTACCAGCAAATATGTTTTTTTTTTTTTCCTTACTTGGATCTTATGCCATTGAATCTCACCTAAAATTTGATTCATATGAAGTATAAATGGAGCATTAATACAATTATACCCAGTAATGTACCGATATATCTTAAGGAATGCTCCAAATTTAAACTGTGATTTTTGTCTTCACTGAGTATCATTCAGGGGGGGGGGGGATGAATAGATTGTTTCAAAATCGCTAAAAAAACTTGTTTTTATAGACAAATTACCTGTAGAAAAAGAATTGATTGATTTTTAAGGCATTTACATGGGTGCCACTCTTCAGTCCTGGAGACTGAAATCAGGCTTGAGAAAAAAAATCAATAGACTAAATTTCATCAATTATTCCCATTTGTTTTTATTCAATTTTTTTTTTAATTATTTTAATTTGATTAATCATTTTTGTTCGCTGTCAAAAAATAAAGGAAATTTTTTTTTTAGATAAAATAATAAATTTCTATTTGATATGAGCCATTATCATGGTAAGTTACATTTTAAAGTCAGTGAGCTATAAACTTTGGAAAATTCTGGGAAACAGTGCTAGGCCTTGTTAATTGGTCAAAATATAAATACAGTCGTAAATTTTTTTTAAAGTGGCAACTGGGCATTTGCCAATAACAGAACTTATCTTAATTAACTTAAGTGTTATGGCAGATCTATATTATATTGTTAAAAAATATTAAATTTATTTCTAATTACCCATTCATTGTTTTTTCAAATCACTCATTCACTTTTTTTACCCATTCTGAGTCATCTGCAAACTACAGAACTTATTTATATTAGGTGTTACAACACACCAATATTTGAAAGATTTTGATGTCTTTAAATAAGTGGGCGATTAGAAAATAATATTGTTCTGTAACAGTTTTTAAAGGAAAATAATTATTTCTAATCAATTTTTATTCATCCTATCATTTATATCTTGTTCATTATGTTACTTTAAAACTCAACTAGTTAAAATATGCTGTTTAATGTATACATTTGCTGATCTCTAGTCGTTTTTTTGTCTGGGCATGTTGTTACTTATTATCTTATGTTTGAAATGTACAATGTGAAATGTTCTATGCGAAATAAACGTTTTTTCAGTTTTTATTATATTGTTGATTTTTATGTTATTTAATAAAAATTAAGATCGTTTTACTATGAAATAAAGAATTTTTTTATTTTCTATGTATCATATGGAATATTATGATACATGAGATTTTTATTTGCATGGAAACTTCTGAAACAAATTTAAGATTATTGCATAAAAACACAAATTTAATTAACATGTGGCTTGATATTTTCCCTTCACTCTCTCAATAAAATCTTATGAAAATAAAATGTTTTACAATTCAATGTTACATTCGAAAGTCAAAAAATTATTAACAAAGACTATCTGTTTAACTTTATTACCTATGTGTATAATGATTTGTTCGTTCGAAAAGTTTATTTAAAATAAAAATTTCTGGAAATGTTTTAGAAAACTAAGTGTGTTGTGGCTTCAAACATATTTCATACATTTGCTTTGCTATGATTGCAAGTTATCTTTGTCTTAGTTTTATGAACAAACTCTTTCCTCATCTTCCATCTATACCTTTTGTCATCTTTTACTACTCACCTGTCTCGAGACCGTCCCAGGTACCAAACTTGCATACGAGGATATGTCACTTCAAATCGGGAAGTGTAGATAAGCTCTGAATACATAGCCTAGGTAGCCATTTTGGTGACTGCAACTCTCAATGTAGAAATATGGAGTTTCTATTCTTAAAAGCCGCTTTTTATTTTTTAATATTCTTGAAGATAACTTAAATATTTACTATTTATTCTTTTAATTCTACTTTTTTCTCTGAAATTATATATTTTATTCTATTCAGGGAAAAAAATACATTTTCCTGTTTGTGACATCTATCCTTTGGGAGATGGTTTTATTTCGGTTCGTTCATTTAGGTCACTCTGAATGATGACAAGGACTTTTCATAATATATATACTGTTTGTCTACGATAGGTACTCTGTCCGCCATTCGTCTGGAGGGGTGGCGGGGACTATGGTAACGAGGTATGATTATTTCAAGTAGGGGTGCGGGGTCCCTCTTTAAGACTGGTTTCGGTGGGAGAAAAGGAGACTTCTTTCTTCGATCTATTGTATTAGCCCTAGAGTTAAGAGAAATGAGCATTCGCGCCTGAAACATCGTTTAGAGCGTGTGATTCCTTTTTTTTTATCTTTTCTCTTTTTCAAAAGCTTCTGTTTTAGAAAAAAAATTTAAAAAATTTATATGTATGTATGGAATATGTATGGAAATTGTATAAAATTGTTTAAAGCAGCTCAATGTTTTATTAATAAATAACTCATCTATAAATTTATCATACATAGTAAATTGGTTATTAAGAAAAAAATAAATTTGCTAATAAAAACTGTTTTTAATAAATAGTGAAAAAAAACTGTACAGGTTACAATAAAATATGAATAAGAAAACGTAATTTAAGCAAAAAAAACTTCAGATAATTTCAGATGGTTTGATGGGTGCTGATAAAAATCATCGTTGATAGTTTTAGATTTCATCCTAGTTGCGGTCACTTGCTTTCAGTTTCAAAAAAAAAAAAAAATAAAATATTTAAAAATTAATAATCAAAACAAAGATATTTAATATTTCTCCGGCACAGATAACGTGAACTATTTTTATTTTCAGCAAAAGTTTTATCTCCTTTTAAAATCAGAGTTATTAAGTTTAAGCTCTTCACTTTTTCCAGAAAATTCAAGTAATAAAAGAAATTAACTGCTTTAAAAAATGTGCAAGTTTAGAAATTAAACCATCTAACAATCAATGAACATTCATAATAAATATCGTAAAATTAAAAAGTAATATTAAAAAAACCTGTACTACCCTTAATGTCAGAATTTGTTCACTTTTTTTCCTTTGTATTTAAAAAATAACAACTGATTGAATCGAGAGAATTATTTTAAGTAAGAAAGAAATATTCATGCGAATCTTAAAAAAGTTCTTGAATCAGATTAAATAAGTCTCCTACTGGTGGCTGAGTCAGCCAATCTGGTATACTCCCCATACAAGCTATCATCGAAGGCGAAAGAAAAGGAGACCTCTTCATCGAAGCCACCCTCCCTAAAATGCTCTCTTCTTGTTTCCATAGCACCAGACTGCCGCAGACTTTGTGGCGGACAGAGTACCTATCGTAGACAAACAGTATTTATATTAGGGTTTTCGATTATTAATGATCAAAATTAAATGCCAGGATATACATATGCTAAATAACATAAAAAATCCTGAGCTCCATTTCTTCCTTCTGTATCTCTACTCCCTCCGCATCCTCTACTCTAAAAAGTCCTTTTTTTCACCAAAAAAAAAAAGTCATTTCGCTTCTCCTTACTCCCCCCTCACTCAAGGGGAATGACACTTCCCGTGTCCCTCACTCTCTGACCCTCAAGTCAGGGGTCAATCAAATGCTTGGGAGAGGAATCAGAATTCTGATACTATTATTAAATTTTCTCATTTCATCTTTTATACTCTGCTATAACTTTTTTTTTAACCTCTTTGAAATTTTTTGCAATCGGTTTTCTTATGAAGTTCAAAAGATGGTATGATTTGTGATTTAAATCATTATTAACAGTGTTTGAAAATATTTATGAATATTTCTTTGAAAAATCGTATTCACATTCTGACTATTAAAATATAATAAATTTATTTTGCTCCGTCCCTAAATTTTACAATAATGTATGAAATAATAAAATGTAAAGAAACTATGAGTTCAAATAGGAATTACATCGCACTATTAAAATATAGCTATTTTAAATTCATTTAGTTGAAAAGTATTTAATATGTGACACTAGTTTAGTTCATTCTGGCTAAAAATCACCCGAATATTTAAATGATATTAAAATCTATTTTTAAAGATTTCTAGAGAAAAAATTATTTAAGCTAAAAACTATATTTGTGGTCTATTTTCATTTCTTTCAAGCGAATATATTTAATGCAATTGAATTTGTTGAAAGAAAAAATAATAATCTGTTTTCGTTTGTAGTCTATTTATCTCTGCCAATTCTATGCAGCCATACTATCGTTCTTAATCGCAATCGCCAACAGGGTGAACGATATAATTTAAAGATTAATTTTTATTTCTCAGTACACCCAAATGTTCGACAACCTGTCATTATTTATTTAAAAATATGAAACAAAGTGAAAAGAAAGAGCAATGATACTGCACCGTTCAAACTATAGTCACAAAAATTGCAACTATTTACCCATGTCATCGACCTAAATTTAAATAATGATATCTTCAACAGCAAAAAATTTAAAATTTGCGTCGGTAGTTTATTGTTAAAGATATTAAAATTGTCGCCTGGTAATTTAAAATGTCTAAATTCTTTTTTCCCATTTTTTTTTCGAAGGAAAAAAAAAAACTAGATTTGGCTATTTCTGGAAAAAAGTATAACTTCTTTCAGAATTCCATTACTGTTCGAATTAAAATTGTGAGACACCATTTTGCATAAAAATTTGTAATATCTAGAAAAAAATTGTTGCCTATATGCACGTCACTATTTTACATAATGATTGCCTTGGAAAATAATTTTCGATAAATGAAAGCATCAATTGAGTCGTAGAATCTGTGGTTTTGTAACAATGGTGAAAAATGTCACCCAGAAGAAACAAAACAAGTAATTTTATCTTAATTCATTTCCCCAAACATTTTTTTTTTTTTTTTTACATTTGTGTTGTTTACTCCAAGAACATTGTTCTTAAATATTTTTTCTAGCTAATTCAAGATCGTATGATAATATGTTCTGTAAAGCCCTTTTGCTTTAATTTAAGCATCACTACTATGTTCTTTTTTTTAAAAAGAAAAAAGACTAATATTATTTAAAACCTTGTTAATATGCAGAATCTCAAAATCTATTACAGTAATTTATTGCAAAAACAATTGAAAAAGTAAATAAAAAATGATTTCGAAGCGTTTCTGGAATCAAAATAATAAATTAAACCATTTATCGTTGAGAAATATTGGTCATGAAGTTTTGATAGTATCTTGGAGTTGCCACAAAAACAACCACTCTCGTCTTACGCCACTGTTCTTTGTCAATATATCATGATAAATATTGATTTATTACGTATAATAGTGATTCATTGTTTGTCCTAAGGTAATATGCAGGTTAACAAAATGTCTTAAATTAATTAATACTCTTTAAGTATGAGTTTCTGATTATTATCTAACTCGATTTAATTACTTTTCATTGATTTTTTTTACTAATTTTCTTTGCTGATTTTTTACATGCGTTAGTCATTTTAGCAAAATCACATCTCTAGTAACTCCTTCCACTATATCATCGTTTTACAGTTGTGCATTGCCACTATTAAAAAAAAAAATGAATCTGGAAACAAAATGGATGATTAGAGTATTTTATTCGGCTTCAGTTATTTTACCAAATTCTTGTAACGAGTTACCTTGTAGAAAAAAGTTTTCACAAGCTGTGGATATATTTATTGTAATATATTTATGTTACGTTATTGCTAGTGATACCTTTTATATGACATATGTTTTGAAAAATGCTCCATTTGGGTTCTTAATATCTGCTTTTAGCGGAAATTTTAGTAGTTTGTTCATACGTCTCGTATTAATGAATAAAAGAGAAAACATTTTTAAAACCATATTGGCTGTGCAGAATTTACATAATGAAATAGAGAGATACCAGAAAAGTTTTTGTTTAAATATATTTGTTGGATTTGCTCTCAGTTTCACAATACCTCTTGTATTATTACTTAAAAATATCATATATATAAACACTGAGGAAGGCATCCGCCAAAATGAAATGACATTATTTTTTGGTTACAGTTTTCCGAAAAGAATTTTTTATGCCTTGGCTTTCTTTGTTCACTTACTTCTCGTACAGCAACTGTATGCTTTGCCAATATTGTGTGCTTGGCTTTGTTTTTATATCTACAAAACTTTAAATCAAGCAATTTTAAAATGTAAACGACAATTAGTTGTGAAGAATAGTTTGAAACGCGTGTTTTATTTATGTCTTTTGCTTACTGATGATATTTTTAATTGCGTTCGAAAAGTAGAAAATGCTGTATCGTCCATGCTCTTTATTCTGTTTTGGTACCTTTTATCGAGTATTTTTATCATGATGACTCTTTTAATACAGATGGATTTAACTAAAGATATCAACTTCTATGTGCTCATTCAAATTCTTTGTTTTATTGTGTATCTCATTGCATTCTATTCTGTAAGTATTCAAGCAGTTAATGTACATTTATCCGCTATAAAAATTAGAAAAGTAGTTCTTAAATTTTGTTCTATGATACCAATGAATACAACCAAGCAAGATGATGACTTAAGATTGTTATTCACAACAATGAGCGAAATTTTTCCGGCCAAAATTCTGATAACTGGGTTGGATATGTTAGAGTTTGATCAAAGTTTCATTCTTCAAATAACAGGAGCAATAATATCATATGGAACCCTCATAGGACAATTTGGAAAAATTGGTTGATCGAGTAAAGATATTTGTCGTATATAAACCTATTAAATGGTATATTTGATTAAATAGTTTTTGATGTGGAGAAATTCTCCATTCAAATTTTTTAATTAATTATAAATTTAATTAAATATAGTTTTTTTATGCTTTGATTTTCATTGTTGATTAACTTCTGATATTGTGGCGTGCCTTGCTTCGTTTCTACATCTACAAAACCTTAAAACAAGTGATTTTGAACTGCAAGCAATGGTTTGTAAAGAATAATTTGGAATGTGCATTTGATTAAAATCTTTTGCTTACCGGTGATATTGCTAATTGCATTGTGATGTAGAAAATGCTGTATCGTTCATGTTGTTTTATTCTTTTTTATTTGATTGATGTTACTCATTTTTATAAGGAGGACAATTTATATATAGTCGCTTTAGGCCCTATGGAAGAAAATCTTTTTAATTTTCCTCCCTGCATCTTTTTTTTTATGATCATGTTTTTCTCTAAAAGAAAAAAAAACGATTTTTGTTTTACATATGGGTGTTAATTTAAAAGAAATATTGACATACTAAGTACAGCTATAATCATATTTATTTTTTATTATTTTAGGAAATATTATTTTAAAGAAAAGAAGTTTAAGGTTTTAATAGCTTTTATTTTATTTTTTAAGAAAAAAAAAGGCCTGTGAATTATTTTTAAAGAATAAAGTACTACAATGCGTACATTTCCCATTTGCAAACACTCTAAGGAAAAAAACATGAGTTTGGTGCTACATTCAGAACCGTCATGGGGTGAGGCAGTTGACCCGAACCCCGCAAGTCCCATTTTCAGTGAGAACATTCAAAAGGAATGAATATGTATGTATGTAAGAGTTGGGCGAATTGCATCATCTACTTCCTCGTTAAAAGGCGCGGTATCCACGGTGCAATAGAGTCCAGACGGGAAAAGTCCCGAATAAATTAATAACTCATACTCTTTTCTATTGAACAATCTTATTTAGCATTCATTCTAGATACGGCAGTAAATGTTAAGTTTCATTATTAAGCTATTGTCTTTTTTTCCTCTCTTGCTCCACAAACTCCTACATATATATATATATATATATATATATATATGTTGTTGTTCATTTACGTCGCACTAGAGCTGCGCAAAGGGCTATTGGCGACGGTCTGGGAAACATCCCTGAGGATGATCCGAAGACATGCCATCACAATTTTGATCCTCTGCGGAGGGGATGGCACCCCCGCTTCGGTAGCCCGACGACCTGC